GTGTGCTGTTTTACTATTTCATTGAGGGTATGTATGCGTTGTGTATGTGCGTGGAAGAGCGTGCGTGTGGGTACGTTGTGTGTATATGAGCGTGTTTTTTCTATTTCATTGAGGGGTAGGAACAAAATATGTTATGATATAAAACGTTAAAGGGATTTTTAAAAATATCAGGGAAACACATCATTTACTAAAATCTCCCATTTACATTTGAAATATTCTTACTTAATTCCAAAACTATTTTGTTAATTCAAAAACATTTATCTATACATATATAAAACAACATAAAACCCTCCCCTCAAAAAAATCAATATACAAAGATTAAACTTTCTGAACATAATTGATAAAAAAAATGTTAACAAGCAATAGATATGAATGTCAAGTAAAAAAAAAGTGACCTTTCTTCTTACACTGACCTAGCTCCAACTCTCCTGACCCAGCTTCAGAACCCCTTACACTGGCTCCGCGACTTTCATACTGCCACCTCGCTTCAGCAATCCTACCACCCGGACCTGGCCCTCATACTGAAACCACTTCCAAACGCTCTAACTGATTTGTCTCCCTCATCCTTATACTTCCCCTCCCTCACTTTCCCCTCGCTTCAAATCCCATAGGGTGACCTCGAAGGCTTTTCATACTGACCCCTACATGACCCTAGAACTCAAACCCTTTTAATCCAACTCCAACTCTCTTCTACAGAACGAACCGTATTCATTATATATATATAGAATCGAATATATAAAAAGTATAGAATATATAGAATATATTATATATATATATATCACGTATAGAAATATAGAAAAAGGCATGAATGATAATGAATTCCTTTGATACAAAATGTGTATTAACCGGCTTCGAATATATATTTCTCGTATATTCATTTCATTCGTTCTCGTATATTCATTTAGACGAATATAGAAAAAAATGAACGATAAATGAATTTCCTTTACGATATAAGAAATGTATTTGACCGGTTTCGAATATATTTCTCGTATATTCGCCTGAAATAAGATACAAATATGACATTTAGACGAATATAGAAAGCATATGGAGAAAAAATATTGACTATACACGAATATACTAAAATCGAATGTACTCCTCACGAAAATACAGAAAGAAATCAACACTAATCGACACCTCAGCAAAATAATCATTAAAAATAAGACAAAAACAAACAAACCAACAAACAGCCATATAACAA